ACTTTTTTGAGACACTGTATATGGAAGAAAACTGAAATTTAGTAGCATAGGCGATTTAAGATCGCTTGTTGATTGAACACCATTTGCAACACTTGTACAAATAACATACGGCTACGACTTTCTCTGAGTTTTAGATCTCACGATGATAGAGAAAAAAATGGAATAATTACAATTGCTTTATCACTAAACAAATAAAAATTAATTCTGATAACGCTACTTGGTTGTTTACCATCTGTAAACTGATATACTAGTTTTACCAATCTTTCCATTAGGGTCATCATTTTGTTCGCTTGCGTCAAATGAAACGATAAACAATTCTTTGTTATTGTTAAATCGTTCAACAAAATGAAGCTTATGTTTATCGTTTGTTGTTTTTGTGCTTTATCAACCGATGGTATAACATAAAATCGAACTTTAATCTAAAACGACTAAAAAAAATTGAATCGAATGTCAAAACAACTTTTAAAGTCTGAAGAGCGCATGTGATATTATCATCATGTGATGATATGTAGGTACTCTGTCTTATACTACGGTATTTTCGACGACGATGTTTTTAAACTGCGAAGTTTTTGAGTCGTTTTATTTTTTACGACGATATTTTGTACCATTTTGTTTTAGAATTGCTTTGCTTTCTTTTCTCCCACGATGTTTTGTACCACAAAATTTTCGCCTTGCGTTGTTTTCGGCCACTAAAAAAGCACGTAATTTTTATGATGTATAATTTATATTATAATGTAAAATAATAAATCAATATGTGAGAATTAAATTAATTAATAAAAATGCTTTTGTATTGTTTTTAAGTTAACAAAATATTTTTAAAAAATCAACCACGAGCTTAATTTTACTTTGCTCAGAAAGAAAAATCAGCGAATCCGGTGATTGGAGTTTGAGATATTTAGCATTAGGTTAATTGGCAGTTGTTGAGATATTTAGCATTAGGTTAATTGGCAGTTTTGCTGAATGAAGCGACTGGATAATTACTGATGTCATTTCAAGTTAAAAAAAAAATTAAAACTCATCGCCTTGAATGCATTTATCAAACTGGAGTATGGAAATGACTTAGATTTTGAAGGTTAAAAATAACTAACGTGTAGGCGTAAAATCATTGACATCTCTCATGGAATTTCAGTACTCTTACAGTCTTTTTGCCTGAAGGAAATTATTTCTATCTTGCTTAACTAGCAACTTTCCCCGAAAGTGATTTCAGCAAGAAGAGGAAATAACGCGACTGCGCACAACCTCCCCCTTTTTTTTTTTCTTTTCCTCCCGGAAATTATATTCTTTGTGCTCTTAGCTCTTGGGCAAGAATAATATTTAACAATGATGTATCTTTTCGTCTTGATTTCTTTTATCATACGGAAAACAGAAGCATTATATAGGCAATGCAATGGTTATTAGTAATGCAATGCTCTTGTGTGTGTAATGCTTTTGCAATGATTAAGTTTGTGAGTAATGAATGCTCTTGCGATGATTATCAATGAGAATTTGACATGTGACAGAAGCTAAAATTCTTAAGCAGTAGCCAAATACTAATAAAATTAAAAAAATAAAAAATAATTTAAAAAAAAACGAAATTTCATATTAAAGTTTTAACATATCGAAGAATTTAAATTAAAATTTTAATTAGTTAAAAATTACAAATTATTAATTGCTAAAACAGGAAAGAAACTGCTGTTTACACTTATTCCAGTCAAATACCTAAAAAAGAAACAGATCTACTAATTTAAGAATAAGGCCTTTCAGAAATTAAATATTAAAATAAAGATCATAAAATTTTAGATTTAAAACGAGCTTGTACACAGAGTCTTACGAAGGATAAAATAAGCTTCTCATTAACTCTTGATATTCAACAGAAGAGGCTGCTTGTTTTACAAAACAAACTTCCACTTGCGACTGTTTAACATAGCATAAACTGAATTGAAAATTTAAGTATGCAGTCGGAGACTACACATAGTCATCTACTTAGCCTACTGAAGTAATTAACTGTGCAGTTTTAAAGTCGGCTAGCAAAGTGGCTAAAGCCGGAATAAACTTTGGCAGAGCTGGTGACTGTAAAAAAGGCTTGCCAAAAGCTAAAACCAAAACCAACCAAACACACGGCTTAAATAAATACTCCACAGCCAGTTTGCATTCTGCTGAAGATTGCGGAAGAAGAAGTTGCAGTAAAGTTTCAAATCGTAAGAATTGGTTAATTAATATTGATAAAGCCAAGTAATAGAAAACAGCTTTACTGTGATATTATTTTAACATAAATTCTCCACGGAGACTTTTGTACTTTTTTAATAAAGAAAAGACGAAGTGCGTTAGGATGATCTCTGCAATACTTTTATGACTATATCATTTTCACTTGACGCTTGAAGTAAATATTATTCTCAAATGGGCAGTTATTACTATTATGACCGAACAAAAATCCCTGCGAACTGAAATAAATAAATATCTTGAAGAGGTTTCCTTCAAAAGGTTTAGTAAAACGTTTGACCTTGTCACATGGTTATATTAAAGCCTTCAATTTCATTTCACCATGACTGATAATAAGGAAAAAAATTAACAGCAACCAGTGCAGTCAATACACTAAGCAATTATTGTTATTGACCGGAAATTCGTTGACTTCTCAAGGGGAACAAACTAACTTTCGATCAATCAACAATAGTAAATAAACGCGAAAGTGTTTCGTCATTTTCTGTAGTGAGAATTATGACAAAAAGGTTTTTAGTAAGATGAGTTTAGTTATCCAAATTAGGCTGTACTGTCAAGTTTTAAAATCGGGAAATAATTCTTATAGGCGTGAATTTTATTTTCTTACTTCAGAAAATTGTCCCCCGACACTTTTGCCTTTTATCATACTAATACAATGTAAACTTTGTAAAAAAAAATAAATAAGGAAGAATAGGTGAATAAAAATATATTCGTATAAAACTAAGAGAAAGCATTAAGAATGACCGAACATTATGAAAAAAGGAAATTTACATAATATACATTAAAGGCGAGACGATTAATTAATTAACTTAAGTGTTTGCTAGCTGGGAAAAAGATACATGTCCGTTACTTTCTTCTGTGTGTACCTCTTCTATGTGTTTACTTACTTACTTTATTTGTTTGTTCATACATAATGCTATAATTTAGTATGTACTTCATAAAATTAAAAGGCATTATTTTGGAATATTAAAAAAACATATAATGTGAATTTAAGAATTTTCCTTTGATCATCATTTTGTATCAGTAAATACAAAATAAATAAAAAAAATAAAGTAATAAATAAATGAATAAATAAAATAACGAAAATAATACCGCCGAAGAGCAACTATTAAAGATATTGCAGCATCAAGAATCCTCATAAGATGGATAAATCTGCAGTGCAAGTTTCAAAGGTTAAATAGAAACTTGTTTTTCATCTTGAGTGATAGTGACGAAAGGAAGGTACTCACGCATTATCAGTTGATAAGAAGTTCGAGAGAGTTCCAGGTAAGAAAATGAACACCGCCACTAGCGCCATCTGTTGACATTAGGTGTCAATAGGGGAAGCAGAATATGGATTTTTCAGACAAACAATATGAAGAGCAGTTTCTGATTTTTCTAAAACAGAGTAGCTGCAGTATTTTAGAAATAAGGCTTTTTACTTCCTTGTACGAAGTAAAAAAGAAGAATTGTAATCGCGAAAAGTTTCAGACAGCATATTTTAACGAAAATATCCATTTCGACCGCTATCGAATGCAATTTAACGAGGTTTTTGTGTGTCATCTGTACGTAAAGACAGAATAAAAGACTCTTTTGTTCCCAAAAATTATAAAACTGATATAAAATGAATCCTGAAAAGAATTTTTCGTGGCGTCTGTACGAACGTACGTACGTACGTACGTAATTCGCATAACTCAAAAACGAGCAGCCTCAGAACGTTGAAATTTCGTATATAGGACTGCTATAACATGTAGATGTGCACCTCGTATTTTGGTTGCAATCGGCCGCACCACACGTATGTTAATATATTTATATATATATTCACTCTGTTACCCGGCTCAGTGATCTTTCTTTACTCTTATATGTTTGTAAATTGTACATTTTTTGCTTTAAAAATGATTGACTTATGTTGTTCTTATCTTCCGGTTAAGGTTTTTATGCCTTTCGTAAATCTGGAAGCAATATTTGTACAATTATCAGCAATTTAAAAGCTATTTAAGTGTGGTTAAGTTTTAAATAACATGGCAGACATATTTGTTTACATTTAAAACAGCAGAATAGTAGATTTGTTGCCAATCTAGAGAGATTAAGCTACGCAACAACAAAGATAAACGCATTCATTTATTATTGCGAATTAAATTATGCTTAATTCTTTATGGAATTTTTTCGAGGAAATAAGTGTTTAAGATTTATTTCGTAATTTTTAATACAGATATGAGTTTTTATGTATTTTTGCCTTGTTGCGAAGTGAGAACTGAATTAATTGCATGAGAAATACTGAATCGTCTGCGAAAAACTGTTTCTTTTTTGGTTTGTTTGCTTAATTTCTTTTATACATCGTTCTAAATTTAAAATTATTATAGTATTTGAATAGAATATGTGGCAACGATTAGGTAATTTATGAAAGGATATAAATTTTGTGCATTCTGAGTTATAATATGAACGAAATATTAAGTGAACCTAGCGCCAGAGTGTCGCTATGCTAAACAAATATAGTGAATTTTAAATTTTAAGGAGTGCATTTATTCTATTGTGTTTTATGCGCTGTCGACGAAGTAGATTTAATTCAATCCAATACGTTTAAATGAAATGGAAGAAAAAATGTGTATAATTTAATATTCCGTACAAGGAAGTCATGTGGTGTACATATCAGATTTTTTTTTTTTTTTTTTCAAATCTAACGAATGGTTTGAAATGCGAAAGTGTAATAAACGCATGATCTTTAAAAAAAAAAAAAAGAAAGAAAGAAAAGAATTATGTAAATGTTTGTAAATATGACTCTTAATATAACAGAACTACAAAACTAAATATATTTCTTCATTTAGGTTGGCTTGGATTTTAAATTACCTTTCTTCAGCATCCCATATGCCAAAATGTTCTCGGCCCTGACAGCTCCATCCGTAGGAGGTGGACTGTTTGGGTCTGGATCTTCATATGGGTCGACCGGCTCTGCCGCCAGTTCCCTGACTTCCAACCTTTTGGGATCTGGTAGTGGTCTGTCTAGTGGTATGGCCACCATGGCAGCCATGGCTGTTACAGCTGCCCTTTTATATCCAAAAGTCAGCAATCTCTTCAGTCTCGATGGAAAAGGAGTCTTCAGAGATGGTAAGAAAAATATTTTTTAAAATTAATATTTGATAATTTAAGGGGACTCATGCACCTCAAAACCGATAAGATCATCGAATATGTGACTGTCACAAGAATTTATTTATTTTAAAAGCAATTACTTCCATCTTTTTGCAGTTGACTACATAATATAACTGCTTTCTGAAATAGTAATCAGAAAGTTTGTATTGCCACAAATATTTTTATAATTTAATCGGCTTTGTGACAAAATTTTTCGTCATGTTTCCACCTTGCGCGCACAGTTTAAAACATTCTGTTGCATAATTTAATTCCATATTTAATATGTAGCTTATATACCATTTGGAAAGTACTGTGAACCAAAAATTCTAAGAATTTCATATTAAATTTTTATTTTATTTGGAGTTGAGTTTATAAAATGTATTTTATTAAAAACATCTATAATGTTTTCGTGCATAAAATTTTTTAATTTTAAAATATTCATCAGATTTTTGGTTTAGTTAGATAATAGTGCCCATATAAAGAATTCCACCAAATTTCAAGTACGTACCATTAGCCATTTTTAAAATATCGTGCGCGCAAGGTGGAAACTTGACGGAAAATTTTGTTCCAAAGCGGATTAAATTACAAAAATATTTGTGGCAACACAAACTTTCTGGTTACTAATTTCCAAAGTAGCTATATTATGCAGTAAGCTGTAAAAGATTAGAAGTAATTGCTTTTAAAATAAATAAAATATCCCAATTCTTGTAGCAATCACATATTCGAAGATCATAAAGGGTTTAAGGTGTATGAGCCCCATTAATTAATCACGACTCAGAAAACTTAAAACTCTCTATAATTGATGAACACTAATATATAGGATTAGAAAAGGATTAGGTCGAGATAAGATTAGGGTGGTAGGAAGTAAAGGAAGCTTTGTAATCGCAAAAATTTCAACGAAAATATCCATTTTTGACCCCTATCGATTGCAGTGTAACGATGTTTTTGCGTGACATCTAAATAGAATAAAGGACTATTCTTGTCCGCAGACGAATTATAAAACTGATTTAAAATGCATTCAGAAGAGAATTTTTTTTCGTGGCGTCTTACGTATGTATGTATCCGAAACGAATAGCCTCAGAACATTGAAATTTTGTATATAGGAATGCTATAACGTATAGCTGTGCTCCTCCCTTTCTGGTTGCAATCGGCCGCACTAAAATTATATATATGTATACATATCCACTCTGTTAATCGGCTGAGTGAGCTAAGGTTTTTTATTCTTATATGTTGGTAAATTGTGCATTTTTTGCTTAGAAAGTAATTGAATTGTGTAGTTCTTATCTTCCGGTTAAGGTTTTTATGCCTTTAGTTAATCTGCATGTAACTGTGTAGAATGATCAACAGTCAAAAGTTGTTTAAGTGCGGCTATGTGTAATTTTTTTTACCATAGCTGCCATATTTGTTTGCATTTGAAACTTAGCAGAATAGTGAATTAAGTCAGTTTCTGCACCTTCAGTGTCTTTTTTACGAATGGAACCAAAAGCAATTCTCACTTTTGTGCACCGAAATCTGCCTTTTTACCAGCTAGCTGAATTGCTCGTTTTTGCTTGGAAACTCTAATTTGAAGTGTAAAAAATTGTTTTAACTGTATTTGGCGTTTTATATTTGTGTAGATATTTCAATTTTTTATAAAGATATTTTGAGGTTTTATGTATTTTTGCCTTGCCGTGAAGTGAGAACTGAATTAATTGAATGAGAACTATATCTTTAAGAGTTTAACTGAAATGCAAGAAAAAGGCGTATAATTTAATATTCCGTACAAGGAAGTCATGTAGTGTACAGATCAGTTCTTTTACTAAGCGGGAAAATGAGGATATTCACGGCAACTATAGTTTATAATAAAATCAAATTCACTAGCACTTAATAACAATTGTATGCTTAAGTAATCGTTATTCGATGCGCGAATTAATATTTATATTATATAAAATATCTAAGAATTTTATTAAATTTAAACTAACGTGAAATATTAGAATCATAACAACAGAATAAAATCAACAATCTAGTCAAATCTAAACTGTGAATGGGGTCTCCAAGGCCGATCAAATTACTGAAAAGTCTTAAATAATTTCGTTGTCATTTAATGCAGTTAAACTGGAGACACTTCTTACTATACATCGTTATTACCGGATTTCAGAAAATACTTGCTAATCTTTCGAGAATCTTTTTAGATTTTCTGAAGTTTTGCTGCTTTTAATAAGGTACATTCACGTAGTGTTAACAAGCGTTTATTAGATATTATTATTATCTTTTTTGAGTTTTCGTTTTTGCTGCGACTCGCAAGTTTTAAAAAAGGAAATAATTTGTTTAACTACATTTCACAGTTTGAAATTTTGGTTCAAACCAAGTAAAGTTTACAGATATTTGCTGATTTATTTTTAAAAATTTGACTTTTTAAAAAAGTTTTTATAAATTTTTCGAGAAGTTTTTGATTTATAACCTACATTAATTTTTACATCTTAAAGTAGATGTATTTTCAGGCATACCTGCAAAAAGCTACAGTATTTTTATTCAAAATTTCCGAAGATTTACATGGATTTATACATATTGCCGAGATTTGAAATTTGCCATATTAAACGGTAGTAACGCCAAATCTGGTTGACGCACTTTGTTAAAATTATTTGAAAGAAAGAACGATGCCCCTTTTTTCCGTTCGTGCACAGTGAAAGGAAAAGGAAAATAGGTTACTATAAATTTAGAATGCTGAAGTGAATTATTAGGCGCAGAATTAAAAAAAATGTGCGCTAAGATAAATTTTGAAATCTCTAGGTAAGTTTCGGTAGGTATGAAAAACGCAACTTAATCGTTAATCGGCGTTAATTTCATTAATCGGCGCAGTAGAACGGGTGATACACAACTGTCCTATGTTTTGTGTCAGATTATACCTTTCGTTGTCGTTGTTCAGCTTTAGCAAAGACATATACAAAGAAAATCAGAAGAAAAACATGCTTATGGTGTTTGTTAGTTTTCGAGCAGCGAATTAACTTTATAAATAAAGCATTTTTTATATGCACAATTAAAGAAAATAAAGCTTACCTCCAAAGGGGCGTTTTTTTAACATTTTGTCTGTTACCTTTATTTATTAATTATCACGTTCTTCGCACTTAAACCATAAAATTCTGTTCAAGAGCAATATCGCAAAATAATTTTAAATCGAGCATATCTTTAGAATTTCCGTACGCTGTCTCACGCGCTGGAGATAAAAAATGTTCTTTTCTTTACAACGTTGCCATTGCTCGCTTTGAAATCCATGATTTTGTTAATCAAAAATTCGTTAAAGATTTACAAAATATGAAATCGATAATAAAACAAATTCCAAATTTTAAATGTGGGCATCCTTATGCCCATATTCACAGTAGGATTACATTATTCAAAATTCGATGGCTCTATGTACCGTTGTTTTATCACAGTGGGAGAAATATACATACATTTGTGCAGATTTTTCATTATTTAATTTCTTCAAATATAATGCAAGACAATGACATTTGGTGGCAACAATTTGAAAAAGTGAAACGGACATTTATAGTGAACCAACGCTAAATCACAAAACGAAAACAATAGTCCTTCAGAGACGAAGCCCCTTTGAACTAATAAATAACTCATTGTAGTAAATTCAAATGTGCTTTTAAATTGATGACGTTTAGTATATTTTAAGATAAAGACATTCCAAAGTTTCGATGTCAAATTGTGATGAGCAGAAATTCAAAAATCAGATTTAAAAGAGCTAAAATCAAACAATAAAATTCTTATCTAAGCGAAAATGTAATAAACTAAAATTGTGCAATATTAACTAAGAAAATTGGATGTGAATATTGCACGAAATTTTACATTGATACTGACAGTTTACGATCTTCATAATCTCTGTTTACTATGCATTTCAGAATTTGCAAGTTAAAGTGATTTTTGAGAGGCGGAGAGCCTGTTAGAATTTTACCATTTAATAGAATTTCAAATGTATACCAAGAAATCATTTCTGATTTGAATTTTCAAACCTTAATTTTAACAACCCTCCACGATTGATTCATCAACTTCACATGGGGTAGTTCTTTTGTTAGATCATTTACAATAAGTTCGAAAAATTAATTCATTTTAATAGTTTATGACATGATAGTTTTTACATATTTAATTTATAAGAAACTTATTGGAGGAGTTGAAAACAACAAGAATCAGCATAATATTCATAAATTTTCAGGGTTAATTTCGAAGGTTCTGTACTTAAACCTTCGGACCTAGTCCTGTAAATTTATAAATATTGTTTTTGATTATTTTGCTTTAACTCCAATAATTGTTATTCGATGCGCTATACGTTAATTCAAGGAACTGTTACTTACTCAACATTTTATTGCACTGTTGAGAATCATTGTTTTCATACATATGTGAACGGGCATTAAGAAGTTGAAATAATCCGGAATACTGCAGTAGAACTGTTGAAATTAAATCCATTAATTATGTGTATGTTTCAGGTCATGGAGCGGACGATTTCTTCCAGAACATGAACAGTGTTCTCAATCAGTTTAACATCGACGGTGAAGCCTGCATGAAAGTCGCTTTGTGTTCCCTCGGAAATGCCAAGCGACATCACCAGCGCACCAGAGGAAGAGACGCTTCTACCACTCCTGCTGATGTTCTGGAGGACATTTTAAAGTAAGTGACTAACTTGAATTATGATACGTGAAATTATAAATTTATTAAAAAAATCTCTCTATTATAAATTTATCTCTGCATAATATCAAAGCAAACTCTATTTATGCTCTTGTAAAAAATTAACAAATTAAAATGAAAACAAAAAATACACTATCGTTAAAAAATGTGAAGAGTTTGATTTTGAAACATTTGAAAACTATATGCAGTAAAAACTTAATTTTTTTCAAACAAATATGACTACGTGAAAGTTTGTAGTATCTAAAGATAAAGAGCGCTCAGTGGAATATCGAAATCAACCTTAAATGTTTTACCGGCAGCAGAAGCCAGCTAGCTGGGACGGCTGTTTCTGTGGACGTTTTTAACGCTTTGTTGTGTATATCGAAAATAACTTCTTGAGGACTTGTTCTTCTCTGAAGGAGATTACTGTTAGCTTTCTGTTGTAAAATGAATGTAGCCTGCTTAGGTATTCTGCATTCAGTCAATGAAACCCACATAGAGACATATTAACATAAAATCTTCATCTTGCATTTTAAAATAAAATTAAAAAATTATAACCTGTTTAAATTTTTTTATAAATTAAATATTTAATTGTAAATCTTTCTAAAGACATCTCATCACTTGTTTAGTTAAGAATAATAATACTAGAATGTAAAGCTTTTGTTGATTTTTCTTTTTAATGAACTCGGAGGATTTAACGCAGAAACTGATGAAGAATAAACATATAATTCTCTTCGAAGCGCGTAATGACGGTGTTCGTGGGTTTTGTTGAATATTAAGCAACCCGTTTTTAAATTTTTATCACAACATTTTCAACATAATTTGTAACATAACATGAAAAAATTTTCAATATCTTTTAATCACATTAAAGGCAATTAATTTATCATTGATATTTTAATACAATTTCGTAACTTTTAAAGATTTTGGCTGATGGTTTTAAAGTTTTATTTTAAGAGGTATCAGCAATACTGGCAGTGTTAAATTGACCATTTTCGATGTACCTTTTCTCAAAATCTGCTGTAGATACACGCTTGAAATTTTTGTGTAATTAAAGTATACCTATCTGATTATACTGAAATGAGCTTTTGAAATTTTAGACTAATTTACAGAATATTTTGTTAGACAAAGCAAAATTTAGTACTTTTCTCACCAAAAAATTTTTATAGTTTATCACAAAAAGCTCATTTCAGTAAATATTAGGGAATAAATAAGCCATAAAAATTTTAGATATCTGTGAGCATTACTTCCTGAGAAAAGGTACATCGAAATCACGTTTGGAGAAAAACGCGTTTTTATGTAAAAAGCCTCATTTATCAAAGCATTCAATGACAAATTAAAACTAGTTTTTTACAGTTCTAATTTTCATAGAGATTAAAGAATGGTATTTTTAGAAAGGTATAAGTGCAGAGAATTTGAAAATGCAAAACTCCGAAATCAGCATTTTTTGAAGATTTTTTGGGTTCCACCACCCCTTAGAAGCAAAAGAATGTAATGCGCAAATATTCCGTAAGTTGCAAAGCATTTATTTTGAATGTTGTTTTGTTAAATTAATAAACAATGATAATCATTGACTTTTTCCAGAGATGGAACCACTATTTCCTTTTTATAAATCACTCAAAGCTAAGTCTAAGAAGTAAAGGCCAATTATTTTGATTTGAAAATGTTTGATATTTCTAAGTTAAAATATTACATAATCAAAAAAAATATGCAAATACTTAATGTGGAACTCAAAACATTTTAAATGAAAAATATTTGTAATATATAAATATTTATAATTTAAATATTAAATATTAATACGTTAAATCTGATTCAAATCGGTCCTCAAAAGCACTATGTATCGTATTATACTGAATTGTAATAACATGTCTTCATTAAATAGCTTCTATGTCATGCATATGAGAATGTAAAGATGCATGGCCAGCTATGTATTGCATTGCAAACATCACTGCATTTACATCAGATCACAGATTTTTCGTAATATGTAATAGAAATTAATATACAAATATAATGGTGCCTTTGTAGGCATTTGTTCAGTCATCCGATTCTTAAAAAAGTTCTAAGGTTTTTAAAATATATGCCAACTGATTTGACGAGTTTTCAAATGAGGCCATATGCCTAGTATACATGTATTCTTAATAATCAAGGCCTACCAGAGTGGTAAAATTGCTGAACACTAGCTCAGTCCGAGGTTCGAATCCAGCGAACGTGCTGGCTGCGTGAGCATTTTTATGTTTTTGCCCATGTTTAACGGGTATACGAGCCAGTTTCCATAGACACTCCTCCATGAAGGCATCCCTCCCTTCCGGTAGATAGCTCTCGAGTGCTTTGCCATATTCAAATAAACCAACCAACCTAATAATTAAGATCATGGGTACATGCATACTGGTTCAAAACGATGTAACAATCCAAATCGGCACGGACGGAAATGATCACGGTTATGTATTCTAGCTTGCAAGTCACTTAACAGATACAACCATCTAAGAGCTCATACCTTTGCCCATACTCTGCTTCTTTGCTGTTTGGTCGTAAATTCAAGTCATACCCTTCTTTCCTCATACTCTGTGCTTAACAGCTAAAGAAGTATCTTAGGCTGTTCAAATCGTCAGAGGATACTTCATCTTTCCTTACATTCCCGAAGACTGGGCTCCGTTAAATTTGTTTATGTTCTGATTAAACATATTATTTTTCCCCTTTTGTCCTAGGAAAAAATACTTTAATTTCATTTATATCTTCAGGTAAGACATAATAATGCACATAACGAAACTGCAAACAATTTCTCACTTTTCGTTTGCGGATGAAGTTAAAATATTAGAATTGCCAACACATATATGGTAGAAAGCGAGTACAGTATATTTTGCGTTACTTATATTCTAACTTCTTTATTACTTTGCAAAATGTTGGTAAATTTTGGCATATTATAGTGCTAAATTGATCAATTAAACTTAGTAATTTTTATATGCTATTTGAACAGCTTATCTTATGCAACATTTTTTATTATCGGCTGTTTTTCTTATCCGCAGTTTATATTGGACTGTATTACTTTGAATGATTATTTGATTTGATTACTAAGTATTCGCTGCCTTCTTGGCAATACCACGAGATAGTATCATCGTCATTTTTATGTATGATATACAAAGCGATATTTTCACAAATCAATTGTATCATAAAACTGTAACTTCTAATTTCATATATTGTTCAGTAGCTGTCAAAATCTAAATTCCAGTCCTTTTTAGCAGATACTGTAGTATCAGACACCATCGTTTAGATAGAAAACTGCCAGTTCGTTTAAGATTTCTTATATGACTGAACGGTAAACAGCATTTGAGGAAGAGTTACTCTCTAAAAAATCATAAATCTATTATTTCAACAGCTGCATCTTTTAACTATAGAAAATTATTGGGATGAGCATTTTTGTATTAGTTTTTGTATTAGTGTTTGTTTCGAGATAATAAATATTAACATAAAAGGGAATTAAATCTATTCTTAATATCGTCGTTATTTTTTCCCGCAGCATGACATTATTGCTAGTTTTTAAACACGGACATTCATCGAGTTTTAGTAAGAAATCTAATCATGTTTTATGACGGATATTCTTATTAGTGCTGCATGAATCTAACGATTTAATTAATCAGATGATGAAAATTAATTTTCTGTTTTTTAGCCTTCCTGCAGTTAAATCCTTGCTATCGAAAGGTGGACTCGTCCAAGCCAGGGATTTTGGAGGAACCGGAGGAGACTGCGAATATTACAACAGCCAGAGTAAATGTCCTATTGGTTCTGAAACATTTCAGAAGATGCTGTCCAGCCTCGGATAAATTTATATTGGAGCATAAACCATCATGACAGCTGCCTCGCTGAAGTCATCCCTAACATTGCAACAGAAATGGCAACTCCACACTGCCAATATGAGTGTTTATTTACTGTAGAATGTTAGAATGCTTTATATTATTTAGTAATCAATGTTTTTTCTCTTTTATTTACTTATATGTATCGGTGTTAGAATGCTTTATATTATTTAGTAATCAATGTTTTTTCTCTTTTATTTACTTATATGTATCGGTCGTCTCATACTTGCTTTTTATTATTTCGTAGTGGCAAAGGGTCTCATAACTTAGCATTTTATCTTTTGTTCTAACCTTTAATTATATGTATGTATATATATTAATACACACAAATAAGAATCAAAAGGTGATATACATATGCAATATTCAGGCATGAAAAATAAACAGTTTAGTCTGCTTGAATATTACAGTTTTTTCACTTTTTCTTTCTGCCCATTTGTTGTGTACTATGTGGCCATTTTCTCATTACAGTACAAAGTCCTTAATTCGGACTCCTCGAGACTTCGGCTTCCGGATTAGGGGTTTTTCCGGATTATAGATCATAAATTTAAATCTGGTAAGATGGCATGAAAAAATTATACAATTAAAAATATGAAACCGTAATTTAGGAAATAAAGAACAATTATGATCTAAAGGGTGTCAAAATTTACAAAAAAAAGCTTAATATTTATTTGTTTACTAAGCCTGAAGCGAGAAGTTTATATTTAGCAAGTAATTTGCTATAATTTTCAAGCTCCAAAATATGCACATTTATTGCAGGTTTTTTTATTAGTTTTTTATGCTATTCATTTTTATATCATAAGTAAATTTTTGTCTATTATATTAGAATGTTCATAGTGTATAAAAATATATTTTGTGAAACTAGTTCAGCTGGTCTGTGAATTTTCAAATATTCTTTGGTCTGAGGTGAATAAAAATAAATTCTTCATTCAAAAATCATTTTGTAGTTTTTCACAAATAGAGCGTTAATAGAATTTATATTTTTATTTTCCACGTCCATTTAGTATGAGTTAAGACAGATTGCTCTTAGAAATAATAAACTGCAGTGTTTCGATACCAAATTTTAAAGAAATTCATGATATATGTTACCATTCTGAAACATACACTGTTATTTTTTGTTGTTTGAAAATTAAAACATGGAATAAGTCAGAAATAATTTTTAAATGTTTAATAAATTAAGTTTTGAGAAATATTTAAAGAAGCTATGAGGAAATAATCGACACAGTTTTCCATGCAAATATACGTAGATAAGATGGCTTAGAATTCATGCATGCATCTTCAGTTTCATCTCAACAATAATTATATTCAACTTGCTGTCATGTTTACTCTTGCAACTTTATGCATTCACTAATAACGGCCAATACCCGTCGGTTATTTAACCATTTTAGCATAAAGAACATCACCCAAGGTGCACCTTAAGAGGCGACCGATTTTACACCCGAAACATCAGGAAAGTTTCCTCCCAGTTTTTGAGAAACAAGTCACTCAAAAGGTCTTTTCGCTTGCTGTTATTTTAAGTGCCCCATGCCGCACAGACACTGTACACTTACAATTTTCCAAACATTCTCCGGGATTTAAACTCAGGCTGAGAGATACAGCAGCGCTAACCACTACACTGATTAGGACTGTCAGCTTTCTGGGATAAATAGTATTAAAAATAAATGCATCAAATAAAGAAAATGTTTTTAAATTTAACCTGTACTTTCGAGTGCATATCTTTTACAAAATGGCGGAATAATTTTAACTATTATCTATGCAATCAAATAAACCGAAAAGAAATCAATGAAATTATTCATTGAAAACAAATAAATTTTGAAATTTAATTGGTTTATGGTATTGAGCTGGAAAACCAATATTGCAAATTTATCATATGGGCAATATGGAAAATTAAAAATACTTAAAATTTTTACTGCAACGTCATACAAATTTAAAATGTATGCAAGGTTGCAAGTGAAAACGTATGCAAGTGAGTATACTAAATTAAATACTGTAAATAAAAAATGTAATTTCTTAAAGTTTTAACTTTTTACAGAATTTTCTTGGTGCTCATTTCAATATAAAAAATTTTTCAGTGCATTTCGAGTAACTCTTAGGGAAATTAGACATTGAAAAATACCTTGCTTTGAGAAGGAAAAAACGCTTTTTTGCTAACCTCATACAGTTTATTGTTAAAATTAAAGTAATGCTATTTTATTGCCGTATCTCATTTTGTATACTTAATTTAGTGCATTTGAAGAATTGTACTTTCTCCGTGTTATGTGGAATGGTTGAAAAACAAGTTAATCGAACTATCGGAGTTTTAAACAGTAGAACGTTTCATTGTCTTTGGGTTTGTTTTGGCTTGGTTTATTTTAAATATGCCAAAGCACACTACAGCATTCTGCCTAAGAGGATTGGTGTCTTCGTGGAAGAATCCAAGGAAAAGCGGCTTGCATACACATGGCACGAAAATCTATCTGCTTAAGAGGAGGGATACCTTTGTGGAGGACTTTCTGAGGTAAACTAGCTCTTATTCCCGTTACATATTGGGAAAAACACGCAGCCACCCCGTTCGCCTGGGATTGAACCCAAACTAGTTCAAAATATTCGTTATCAACGGTTTTAACCACGCTGAATTTTTGTAAAATTAATCGCTTAACGTGCTTTCAGAACAGCTTAAGTAAACACTATACGTGTAGTATAAAAAATTTGTCATTCAAATCAATAAAAAATTAACAGAATTATTTTATTCAAATTTATTATTTTATAATTATTTTTATAATATTTATTTATTTACAGAAAAAGATAATATTTGTTACCCCTCTGTTCTTAGAAATTAATCCAGAAAATTAATAAATAAATTAATTATGTGATAATAAATCTGTCATTTAAATTTGATATCAATATATTAATTAAAATGTGTGTTTTAAGTGATTTTGTGTGTCGTCGGTATTTAAAGTTTTGTCAAATAAAAACTTGAAATGTATTTTCTTATTTTTTATTGTTTTAAACTACTTAATTTCTTATAAGTTAAAACTATTTAGATTTTTATGTAATATATAGTTTGTATAACCTTTATGTATTTGTATTAAATATACTGTAAAATATGCATATTACTTGAAAATATGGTTTTCTTATCTCCTAATATAAAGTGTATAAATTGACTCATCTTTTAAAGTTATCTTTCATTGTCCAAAATTACAAAAAATATCACACTTACAATTTTCAGCATCTTGATCGTGATGTTTTGTATACGTAATATTGTACTGTTTGTAAAATGAGCCCAGTTGATCTGCGTGATTAACTGTGACTTTATAATAGTAATGAAGCACAACGGCAGGATGAACTTATCTATCTTGAATCCTGTGGTTACAGAAACACGTCGAGATAGAGAGTTCCTTTGTGTTGTCCTGTATTGTATCTATTGTTATATGTGTAGTGTTACGTTTATATATGTGTACATTTTATATATTCTTATGTGTATTTTTATATTATGTATATCGTTATATTCATGTATGTTTTGTATACTACTCTATGTGTAACAAATATGCATGTATGGAATATAAATGAAACATTTTTTATATATCTGAATAAAAATAAATCTTTCAATAATTTCTGATGTACGACTTCTTTTGACTGGACTATTTTCTGCGACAAGTTACATGTTTTTAAGTAAAAGCTCTTTATGTAATCATAACAAATAATTAAAATTGAAAGTTATATTAGAATTGAGAAAATTATATATATATATATTTAGTGAGGCAAAATTAAATGCAAATTTTTATACCCGTCCTGTGCTATAGCTGCAAGATTGAAGTGAAATATACTTAAAGAATCTAAAGTAAATTGGAGTCAAAGTAAGGTATTCAAAAGCAATATACAGGGGTTGGACAAAAATATGGAAACACCTTTAAAAAAACATGTTTCTTTGCTTCATATGGTGTAGGAAACCCGTTGGCTTCCAAAACAGCTTGCAGTCTTCTCGGAATGGATAAATACAGTTCCTGTATGTTTGCCAAAGGAATATTATACTATTTTTCTTGCAAAACGGTGGCAAGTTCAGATAACGATGTTGGCGGTGGATAACGAGAACGCACTTTTCGTTCCAATGTAGACCACAAAGGTTCGATAATATTCAGGTCTGGTGACTCTGGTGGCCAGGGAAGATGGGACAACTTATCCTCGTGCTCAGAAAACCAGTCCTGGACAATGTGAGCTGTGTGAACAGAGGCTTTGTCGTCTTGGAAGACACAATCACCTTCGGGGAACAAAATTTGTACCATGGGATGAACTTGATCGGCCAAAATGTTCACATAAGTCTTGGCAGTCATGTGCCCTGACACAGTTATCATGGGGCTAGCAGAGAACCACGATATGGCTGTCCAAACCATTACAGAACCCCCGCCATGTTTCACTCTTGGCAACAAGCAGCCTGTATTATAGGCTTGAGATGGCGTTCTCCAGACGTAAACTCGGCCAGAAGTGGGAAACAATGTGAAAGAAGACTCGTCAGACCATATTACTCGCTTCCACTGCTCTATAGTCCAGGCTTTATGACTTAAACACCACTTTTTCTTGTTACGGGCATTAGCATCACTGATGAGTGGCTTCTTAATTGCAGTACGGCCAGCAATTTCCTGTTTATGAAGTTCCCTTCTAATTGTTTTGGTACTCACAGGGTTCGGTAACACAACATTCATTTCAGCAGTAACTTTTGCAGCCGTGGTCTTCTTATTTTTCGTCACAAGTGCCCTTAATGATCGTCTGTCACGATCACTGTGATTTAGCAGATGATGTTTTTCCGCTTTTCAAATATGCGGAATAAATCTTCGATACAGTACCTCTTGAAACACTAAACACCTCGGCTACCTTGCTTACGGAAGCACCTACCATACGTGCTCCAACAATTTGCCCACGTTCGAAGTCTGTTAACTCTGACATAATGCAATGACAACCTCACATAACAGTACTCCGACAACAACTGAACTGTTTAGCACATTTACGAAGTTGTATAGGTGGCGTCAGTAGTCAAAAATGCCAGCGCCACCTACATATTTCATTAAAATCAATCTTTCTTTTCAAACATGCATTTCACAAGGTGTTTTTATATTTTTGTCCATCCACTGTATATTCCTCAACAATATCAATAATAGCAATCGTGTATAAGAGGTTTAACACAATATCCAAACTTATCAAAATTAAACTAAGAATTCATAGTAGTACAAAAAACAAAAATGAAAATGCAAAAGAAAAAAAAATCAAGATAATAAAAATGTAAAATTAAAAATTAATCTCGTTTTGCTGAAACTCCAATTCAGAACTCATTAGGGAAAAATAAAGCTTTATAAAAGTCTATTAATATGTTT